TAAGCTGTCCCAAGTAAAGCTGCCTTTTGATGATATTATTATTATTATTATTATTATTATTATTATTATTATTATTATCTGATGCAACAAAGCCTGGTCAAAGCTAGAATATCTGAATCTAAAATAGCTTTAATATGCTATTTTTAATTACCATCTGGAAGAAAAATCCGGACGTTTTTGATATGGAGAATTTAACATATGATCTTGGCTTACTAAGGCTACAATAGAAGTTTCCAGATGGTAATTGTCTCCATTGTGGCAGCTGAAAGTATTTTAGGTATCAAAAGTATAAATATGTTTTCCACCTAAAAGTGGAAACAAACAAACAAAACTTTCCAGCCCTTTGTACTAGCCAGCAGAAATTAGAGCTCTGCAGAGTATTCTCATAGGATCCAGATCGCTGGACTGGAGAAACATTACAGTATTGCCCCCAGTGTACATCCAAACTTTTGGAATTTTTTTTCCCATTCTAATTCCTCCATTTGTGATTACCATAGGGTGACTCAATGTTATTCCATATATTTTTGGCTGATGAACCAATTCAAACCAGTCTTCAAACCCTAACAGTAATATTCAAATCTATAATAAAGCATTGTTGTGCAGAATTAACTTCTGCTTGCATTATGCAAGATACTTAATAGGGACTGATCAACTGGCTAAACAAAGAATACTAGAACAATACCACTGTTAAGGTTTAAAAGTCATATCATTCTTTGATTTCCATTGACATATTTTGTTCTCCATCAGTAGCAGAATAGTAAAAAAAAGTGATATACATACAGTGATTTTCTTTCCTCCATAGGACTTCATGATTCTCACATTTTGTTGTGATGATGCTCTGATGTTTTGTATTATCAACTGAGATTTGGTTTCCAGAAATTGCCTGTTGCACATGTCGACAACAACAATATCATTATCTTCTAGTGCAACTACACCACAGTTACAGGCAACGGAGCTATGGTGGCTGGCACAGTCCCACTGACGCACGTGCACCTCAAAGAGACGGCTAAGGCTCTTGTACAAGACAAAAGTTCCAACCATGTAGTTACTGTAACGCCTAAGCAATCAAAAGGACAACATCAAGGGAGAATTTATAGAATGGTGTATCTCTCTGTTTTGGTTTGCACACTTTTACTCTTAACAACAAGATTCTTTAATTAATCCAGTATGGTAGTTGACCTCAGAGGGCAAAGAAAATAAACACTTCATGAGGAAACACTTTTTCATCAAGAAAAGTAACCTAAAACACTACACGGGAGTTATTAACTAGGAATGCATAAGAATTCATATGAGGAGCTCATAGCTGTCTAAGAGCTGCTGCTATGGCAACAGATATGGACAAAGGCAGATAAACATTTGACAGAAGTAAATGGGAATATATTTTCACCTCTATGCCTTAATTATTTTAGTTGTAACCGGGCGCTTTATGGCTTAGTACTCTTCAAAGCAAAATCATTGCTCAAATAATATCTTTTGTGACTCATCACCAACTTTTATAAGAACTACAATTGGTGGGTGAACATTCCATAGGAACAATTAGGGCTTCACCAGAATCCTACACATCTAGACAGAGACTCATTCTTCAATAAACCTTTGGTATAAACTATTTGCAACTGGCATGTGGTGGTATACTCCTCTTCCCCCCTACAACTGAGCTTCAGCCTTCCAGAGTTCACAAGGGAGCTGATTTGGTTGTTGCTCAGGGCCATAGCCCAATCTAGTAGCTGCTACATTTATACTCAGCTATTACTGACAGGTATTGCTATGGATCAGCTTTGTACATGACTGACCAATAAGATTTCATGATTGCGCAAAGAATAATTGATGCAGAGAGATCTCATTTCTATAGAAGGTTGCAATGTTAACTTAATATGGTTGGTTGGAAATCTCTCTTGCAATTAATGGAACTTTTTGAAATAAATAAAGAAGGCTGAGTGCCGAAGAATTGATGCCTTTGAACTGTGTGGTGCTGGAGAAGACTCTTAAGAATCCCCTGGACTGCTAGGAGGTCAAACCAGTCAA